CTGCCAACGCTACACGGAGGATTTACAGACGTGAACGGCTTGTAAATATTTAGTATTTATTAGAAATAAAATACTCCGACACCATAATACTATATACAATATTTACAAAATAAATGACCGTTACAAGAAGGAACTTTCCCTGGTTACCCACCAACCGCTGGCCGGATAATTATTTACCATGTTCGGTGTGATGCACCGAACCAGTACCAGTACCTTACGCGAGCATACCAGCGAGTATGCCGCACCTACCGTCACGACGTAGCACGCCGGCTTCGGTTCCCCGCCTCGGTCGCCTATGCATTACAATGCAACGCGCGCACAACCCACACGACGCCTTACCGACGCGCCAAGAATCAGATGAAAAACAGAAGATCGACCTAGGTCGGGATTCGCTTATATACCTTCTGGGCAGGGCTGACCGGAACTGCGTCACCCGCAGTGTCCGCCGACGCGTTTCGCCGGGGTCCGGGTCTCCACGTTGCCTCCCACGAACTTCCCTTGCTCCCTAGCCTTTTGTGCAGCCCAGCGTCTCTTCCGCCAGCCGCTGTCCACGTGGCTGATATAGTACGTTTTACTGGCGGACAGATATGACGCCACAAAGGGTGTAAAGGGGGCGGAGGTGGGGAAAGAAGCTCCCGCGGTGCTGGGCCGTGGCGAAGAGAGACGGAGGCAGACCGGGGTGGTGCTGAGACCGAGAGAGGGAGCAGAGCCAGAAGATCGAGTTAAAGACGGAGCGAGTAGCTCAAAAAGTAGGCGGTGGAGTAAGAGAATTCCTTAAATCCCGGCAGCAGCCACTACGCGGTGAAAGTACACTCCGAGTCCAATAATAACAACGTAGCAGATACACGGAGAGAATAGTCAGGACATGTGGAGGCGGGATTGAGCCACAGACGACACAGGGCCGGTAACGGAAAATCGGTTTCTTACCGGACTACCCATACTGCGGGCGGGCGTGATGTCCACCGAGCGGCGGTCTTTGGCCGGGACCCGTTTAAAACCAAAGAAATGTAACATTTTTATTTCCAGAGAGCGAACTGCCGTGCAGCTGTCAACGCGGCAAAATCAATCCAGCAGAGTTTGAATGCAAGTGTGTTGAAAAATTATTAACAAAGCAGAGGGGCACAAACTCACAGAACCGACGGTAATTTATTGCGCCAGTCGTAATCTGGCGAGGCGGTTATCATCACATTCAATCTGCTCCACAAGGTAAATAGTGTCCAAATTCGTAAGAAAACTGACATCATAGTTGCAATGGAATAGGCAGCATAATTTAAAATGGCGATGGGCAGGACACGCAGCAAGGCAAGACCATCTCAGATGGGCACATGTTACTACGTGGGGCCAAGGCAAGGCTGAAGACACCCCGGACGACAGAAGAAGATATATGGACTTCTTACATGAAGCAGCGGGCGGGGCCTGGCCAGATATGTGAAAGAGTGGACGTCATGAAGTATACCGGACTAATCCAGAAATAAAGTCGCACTACCAACCTCGCTGGGGCGTCCGAAGAACGTGTGTGTGTGTGTTATATGTATTGTGTAGTGGTATATATTATATATATATATATATATATATTATATATATATATATATTATAGTAACCCATCCACACCCAAACTTACCCCCTTCAACAGCAGCACGCATGAACCGTAAGCGGGTATCAGATTTTGCTCGTGAAAGTGAGCTTAAAAATCTACGGGTCAGGATCTTCAGGGGTGCGAGAAAGGTTTGAACTCTTGACACAATAAAATCACACAAATTGCACACAAACGAGCGTATATTTACCCATAAACTTTAGTGCATCAGTTCATGCCAAAAACCAAGAATATAAATCACATTTTTACAAAGAATGATCAATACACCAAATAGAAACCTTTACAACACACACTAATATGAATGAACACATATAATTTACTCCCAAATTGATACCTGAAATAATTACCCTGATCTACCACTGGGAATTCCCCTTGGAAAATTAAATATATCATAAATTATTGCTATTCTAATTACACATTGCCCCATGAAAAACCAAAATTTCCAATTTAACAAATCTCCGTGCTTCAAAATATTACAAGCAAAGAACAAAATGTGTGCAAGTGCACTACTCTCATTTAACAAATTTAAACCTGCTGTCTGGAAATAGCAGAATATAAAGTCCTTAAGTAAAGTTATGCAGCACATTGCGCATTCAAAATTTCTCCTACTATCAATACTGCAATTTGTTATGCCCACCGTGTCCCTCAAATTTCTTAACACCTTTCCCTATACTAGTTTTTCCCTGCAGACGTTGCGTGAAACTTGGACCTAATTTTCCGCGCCCCAACCGTTACCTCCGTGGACTAACCCACTTTGGCCTCTGATGGTCGTGCGCCGGTCTTCTGCAGTCGACCGTTCGCTCCGGTCCCGCTTCTGCATCGTAAGAGACGGATTCGCCTCATTGCCGTTCTTCTTTTCCTAAGTCGGACCTCTTCTTCCTCGACTTGCTACCGGGCGCCTCTGACTACGCCACGGTGCGAAAATGCTCCCTCTGCACTTCGTCCGAATACTCGTGCAAGTTCCTCGCTCGTTGCCTTACTTCTACTTGCTAAACCAGAACTTTCAATGCTTCTTCTCACCAAACGGTACTTTTACTTCCCGTTCGTTAATGTGAGAGAAAACACTTTACTGAATCTTGCCACTTATCCTCCCCGGGACGAACTGACTAGAACCGGTCTGTTCCGGGACGGGCCGAAATACTCCTACCTAGCCCAGTCCGTTGCAGCCGGCCAAAACCAATATCCTAAAACTTAATGTTAAACGAAAAGTGTTGGCCCTCGGCCCGAAGCGTGATCCAAAAATGCTACCTGGCTCAGATGATCGGAAAGAACTCAAACAGAAGGCTGCTTTCGTCGGACGAGTGGTGGCCAAAGAAAAGAGAAGCTTTCCGCTTGCGTTACGAGTATTTATTCGCCGTCGACGCCTCGCGGGAAATTTTCAGTGGTGCGGGCTGCTTCCCCTCCTTCTTCAAACCCCTCCAACAAGGAAAAACGTTTGCTCGCTTAGTTCGCCTTCCGAGTTTAGTTACGCGAAAAACGGGGATTAGCCAGGCCCCGTGGTTTTTTATTTGAAAACCTCTTTTTCCGCCACCTTTTGCTTATTTTCCCTCGCTGCTCCGTAGTTGTTCACACATTACCGAGGACGTTGGTTGTTTTAGGGTTGGCACAAATGCCATAAACGCCCCCCACAATATTATATTATATATATATATATATTATATAATATACTATATACTATATAACCTATAATAACACCACACACACACGCACCACACTACAATATACCACGGTGTCCGTGGGGCTGTGCATATCTGCAGTTTGAAAACCCCTTTTATAAGGGGACCTTTGAATAAGGTTTTTTTAATATTTAAAACAATGAAGTACATTTGCAGTAACACAAGTGCACAACAAATACAACCATTTGCAGTTTGCCGGCATTTTTTCCCTAAGTTACAAAGCAAATTTCCGACTAAAGAAAAAACATTTCACTCACCAGATCAAGAAGTTCCTTTTGAATAAATGGCCTCACAACGGTAAGGATTTTGTCAATAATAGGGCTAGTGTTGGCTACATGGATTGCTTTCAGTCGCACAGGTTTTGCCTCCTGAATATACTGAAAGAATTTACGCATTGCAAAGAGTGACACACGAGTCAAATGCCCCAAGCGTACACCACTTGCATCAAAAAACATTACCATTCCTGCAAAATACAAAATTGTAAATGAAACAAACTTAACGTAATAAGCCAGTGACAATATGTAGAACTGTGTTAAGTAAAAATTTTAAAATACATAAGCACATTTCAGGCCTTCATTGTGTGAAGAATTTCTAATAAATAAATAAAGTCTTTATCGATGGTGAGGCTTAGGCCATTTAGCCTGCTCTTCCGCCCAACCATTTTCAACAAAAAAAGAAATGAATACAATAGTTATTGAAAAGGTCATTCAAGGAGAAATAGTACGCAATTTGGATGAGGGGGTTTTTCACATTGAAGACACGAATGTAAGCGAGGGAGGAAGGAGTAGATAGAAAAGGGAATACTCTCACAGCATTGATGAAATGAAATTTATGAGTGAGATGAAATTTATTTTAAGTTAGGGATGTGTTTAAGTTAATGATAAATATATTAGAAAGCTATGAGAAATTATTTATATTTAGATAAATTTTATTTTCTGACTCCGCAAATTAGGTACAGAAAGGATTGGACTGATCTTTTATAAGTCAATGAAAAGTTATTAAGTACTACTAAATGTTTCACACAGAGGTTTTGAAGGAGCTACGATTACCTACATATTATTTCCCCTAAAGAAGACTAGAATGGGAGGAAATATTGTCAGCACACGAGCGAAAACACATCTAGTCAAGAGTTCTGAATCTGAGAAAAATGGAAAACTTTGGAAAATAAAGAATTTTGAAAATGATAATACTTGTATTTCGTAACAATAATAACAATATTAACAATATTAATAGTATGAGAATGCTTTATAAAACTATTCGGTTTTTAAATAAAGTAAAAAGAGGGGGATTAAAAACGATCAATTCATATTGTAGGGAAAATTTTCAATTTAACCTCCGTACTAAAAATGTAGATATTATGGAAATTTAGGAACTTTTTCCAATTAGAATATTCCCAAGTCCTGAAAACCCTACCCAACTTCACCCACCCGTAAGCCAACGTCATATACATTTATTGCTCTTATCACCTCTCCATACACAACATGTTATTTCTTCCCTGCTTGACCAAATGATTAGTATCCCCATTACATGTGTAATGGCAGCAATGATGTTTTGCATTAGTTGTTGAAAGTTAATTTTATTTAACTGGATAAATAACACTTTAATTTGTTGTAATAAATATTTCAATTGAGAAATGTTTGTTAAGAACGAATCCTCTCACACATGATAACCGGTGTAGAAAAGCCTTTTTGAACATGCAAACATGCAATTTCTTTAGAAAAGTTTCCAACAAATCCAACAAAGAGTACCCCCAGATAATATGATAAAAAGTTCCCTAAAACCAAATGACATGTGATTCGTTTAACTATGAATCTAACATAAAAACAAGATTTTTTGATACGTTTCTTAGCCCCATCCTCCCTACAGAGCCAAAAACGAGCGTTTTCAATCTTTTTCGTCAACTAAAGATTATTTTATATTGTTTTTATATCATAATTTCTTTCAAACAGAAAATAATGTATGGTATCAGAAAAAACTAACATTTTCTTGGCGCTAAATTTATATGCACAAACATATTTTTGGAAATAAAATATGCTTTCTGTTTCTTAGAACCCTGGGACAGGGTTTGGAACAAATGGGAAAAAATGATATTCACTTGTCGCCAAATTTACATGTAAAACAAATTAAAACTTTTTTTTTAGCCTTAGAATCCTGGGTCAGGGTATGCTACGTACGTGGTATGTAGACTTTCATACATATTACACTATTTAGTATACGTGCTTTTACAGAGTGACTTTTGACTTTTTGGAATCCGAGTATTTTTTCGGTCTTCCAGGTTTGAGAACATAAATTTTCGACGTTGTTTCGCATGTTACAACACACTTTTTCTTAGCTAATTAACCATATTTCCTCTCGCAACCGAGAACTGAAAGTGTAGAGTTGACTACAAAAACAAATTGTAAAGATCTAGCATTTTACGCGATCTTTAAATTAAGAAAATAAAAACTAGCTGTGCTAATGTAGCACATTCTTCCTCGCCCGTAATAATGGTTACAGTCATTTGGAGTGACTTTAGTCCACGGAGGGTGGCTTTGCACCACGGACCACCTTAAAGAATGTCTGTGAAATTAAATGTTCTCGTGTGTACTTTCACTTGCTTTAACCATTAGTCGATTCTAGGAAGCTGAACACACTATACGGCAACACCAGTCTGCTTGTGCGTTTGATTATTATGGCTTGAGCTGACAGGAAAAATAGTTCAATTTTGGACTTGTTTTTATATGGAAGTAACTCTCACAATTCCTTTATGAACTTAGTACATTTTATTGAAGTGTTGATTATATAATAATTATTTACATTTTACACAAACTACTAATTTATTCGCACCCTTTATTGTTCCACATCATAAATTTTAAAGTGGAATGGACTTATTACCAGGGAGAACAAAATTTCAGACGTGATACAAAGTCACTCTGATATACTTTAACAAACAAACCGAGTGATTTATTTCTAGTTAAATTAAATTAATTCACTCATCATTTACGATCCGCGAACTCATCATCGTTCGCCTGATGTCAGATCCTATCGGACGTATTCTGATGAAAAGTTACAGGAAAGTATTTTTGAAGATATATGAACAGGTAAACCTTTCTAGAGAAAATCAGCAGAACTTTATAAATTTTACGATCTACCATAAGAAATACCTTGCGAGGTAAACACTGTGGTACCTCATTGTTGGTCAGAAAGTGTTTAGTGATCACGAAGAAGTGGCATTCATTATGCCCTCGAGGATTGAAAACGGAAGAACAGATCTCTTTGTGGATGATACGAATATTCTTTGCAATAAAGAAACCGTAAATAGTAATATACAATAGAATTTCTCGTTCGAACCACCAATGTCACGTGATCTGGTTGCGATCCAGCATGCGACATCCAGCGGCACGAACGAGAAAGCCGCGAAATGCCGTGAGATATTCCTTCTTGAAGATAGACCCTCACGCGCCAAGAAGTAGAAACTCAAGTATATATTACCAATGATATACTATATTCTAGCTCGTTGTACCAATGATATACTATAGCCTAGCTCGTCGGGTATTACGCTGAAAATTACCGACGTATACATAACAAAACGCTCATTTCAAGTTTACCACATAATACAAATAAATCAAGATTTACATGGTATTTATTAGCTGTCATTGGATCTTTCTTAACATCAAAAATTATCGAAACACCGAAACTACAAAACAAAAATATACATGGAACCAAAAAGAAGGTAAACAAAACGTGGTTGGAATCAGCTTATAGCAAATGCGCTTTGAAATAACAACGAAATAACAATTTCACGAACAATTTTGTTAACGCTTTCTTTTTTGGATCTTTAGAGAAACTAAAGAATGATAATTTTGGTGAATTCTTTTGACCGTAGCTACAATTTGTATCACTACAGACATTTGCATATGTTGGCATTTTTAAACGTGCATCAATGTACTCAGGTCGCAAATGTAACACAATTTGACAGGGTTTCGGTGATTTAAATAAATGAATAATATTGATTTAAATCACATACCGAGCGAAGTAAGATACGCAATTGCAGAACTCGAAAACGGGAAGACTCCGGGAGAAGACGTGTGGAACCTTAGACATGGCATTGAACTTCTAGAGTTAAAAATTTCTTCTAGTTAAAAATCACAATAACTTTCAACAAAATCCTGGCCACAGGAATCACACCTGAATAATGGAAAGCACCATTATTCTATTACAAAAAAAGGGACCCAAAGATGATTCTATTAAAGAATTACAGACCGATAAGTGTATTGTCAACTACGTACAAACTGTTTTTGAAGAAGGCTAATAAAGAGCTTACGCAAGAATTCGCCGTGAGAACAAGCAGGTTTTCGCTCAGGATTCAGCAAAGTAGACCAAATCCAAACGATCAACCAAAACATTGAAGAGGCCGAAGATTTTCACTTATCATTACAATTGGCTTTTGTGGATTACAGCAAGACATTCGACACCGTCAAACGTCCAAGTGTCCTTCACGCATAACAAAAGGGAATATAAAAAAAATTGTGAGAATTCTCCACAAATTATACAGACGTCACTATACACAGTACTAAACGTCACTATACAGACGTCACAAACTATACAGTCCAAGTACGAACTGAAATAGTAGGGCAAATTTTCCAACTAAAACGGGGAGTAACAGATCCTATCTCTCCAAAGTTGTTCACTTGAGCTCTGGAAGAAATATCCAGCAAATTAAATTGGAACAACAAAGACGGGATAAAAATAAATGGAAAGAAGCTGTCTCGCCTAAAATTCGTGGATGAATGGTGGCCAATTCTTCCAAAGAACTTTTAAAGATGCTTTTAGAGTTGAACAGGACCAGCAAAGTTGCAGGACTAATGACGATCTAGAACAAAACCAAATTAATGTCCAACAGACCAGCTGACAAAAATATCAAGGATGGAACCGTGTTAGAGTAAGTAGATTATGTGTACATCGGACAACTCGTCACCCTAAACAGTAAAATTTATGAGATTAAGAAGCAAATAGCCTTCCGGGCACTTCAATTTATTCTCTTGCCCAAATTCTCTGGGACAAATTATTGAAGAGGAAGCCCAGAATAGAAGCTCTACAGACATGCGTTATTCCTGTTTATCCCTATAGAAGCTCTACATACGTGGCCCTAACGGACGAACAAAAGCTCATTAGAGGTCTGCCAGAGCAAATGGAAAGAAAAATTCAGGACAGAGTTTCAAATGCAAAACTCCAAGAATTCAATGCAAATGGGCGGGTCACGACGCAAGACCCACCATGTGGGATCCGTACATTGGAAGCAGAAGCCGATGGGCCAACTATTTCAATAGACTAGTACGGCCACAACGATCAACTGCAGCGAGGTGGAGAACAATTTGGAAGGATTATGAGAGACACCTGTTAGGAAGTGCAGATGTTCAGTGCTAATTCATACTTACGTCGATAGGTCACCACGTGAGTTATGCAAGAGCTTTCCCTCTCGCAGGATTGAATTGAATTGAATTAATGCGGCACGTGGCGAGACTCGTGCCATCAGGCTCGCTCTTCCGTCTGACCACGCAAATTTAGCTACGCTCCTTTCACCAACTAGCGGAGAAACGCGGATCGGGTTTGAACCCGCCAGCTTGGGTATAACATACGCTAACCATTACACCGCTACCATCGCCGCCGCTAAAGGGCAGGAGGCCTTTGCCCTTTAAGGGACACTAGGCTCATTCATTAAATTACATAACTCACCAAAAATATCGATTTAAATCAAAAATATATTTTTGTAAATTTTACAAAGAATGATTAAAAATTTGAAGTTCAAATAAAAGAAAAATATACCCAGAATGCTAAAAAGTAAATATTAGAAAGGTTGGGAATAGTGGAGAAGAATTTTTAAGGATAACTGAGGTTTGCCAGCCAAAGCGCGCATTTGCATTAACCCTTGCAAAAGAGAATTGTGTACATTCGTGTGATTTTCGAATGGTGAAAAAGATGCTGTGATTTGTGATTTCTATAAACTGTATAATTATAATACTCAAAATCCATATTTATTTGGACTATTAAGTCATTTTCTTGCAAACAAGCGTATGTATTTAAGGGTTTGAATCAATGTTTGTGAAACAAGAACAATTGTTGTATAACCCCAAGAAATTAATGATATATTCATATTTTTTTCATTATTTGCAGAAACTTGCCTCAATGTTGTGACCAACAAAATTATCATGCCCCGCATTGGGCATTCCAATTTGTAACGTAATTAAGCCTTTCTAACTATCTCTAACTAAACTTATTTTATCATTCCCCGAGCACGGTAATAATTGTAACGTTTTTATGATTCTTCTAATTTAATTTGTGCAGCTATGCTCGTAAATCAACTGCTTTAATTACTCATAGTTTGGCTAGCTCTTTCTTTATTAAGATCTTGCACGATCTTAACTTAATATTTTATAATTCCCACTACGGAACTAACCTCTTATAAAACCACGAACACAAAGCCTAAATATTTTTAAATTCAAAATTGACTCACAACAACAAATGCAACTATTATTAAAACAATGCAAACATTTGCCCTCTTAAAACTCAAATGAACAATACTGCTTAGCCTACACCATTGTGGATGTGTAGTATGATCCCTGTTTAAATAAGATACAAGGAATTCTGCTTTATTCCTGTTACACTCCAGCCCTACACTTATTTGAAAGTCATTCTTGATCATTACCCGGAAGATGTTTTTTCCTCCTAAGTCACTACATTACATAACTCTCAATTGCAACATAAGAATTTAAAAGTAAAAAAGGAAACAGTTACTCATAAAATGATTAATGTAAAACTTAGATTACAGGATTTAGTCCAAATGAATTAAGACATTAAAACATAGTTTATCTATGACTTCTAGACTGTCCAGACTGTACGTGTATAGTTTATCCAGGTTTCAAAATATTTTAATTTCATCCTCAGGGCTGATGGTAAAACATAGAAAATAAAAGAACAACATTATTGATACTCAAATGGCAATTACAAAATAATATTATACTACCCATATTGATCTTAATACACATATTGATACTACAAGATAAACATATGGTTACAACCTAAGCACAACATAATAGCAACACTCCAACACAACTTTGAGTGACTGCAGCACGAGGTCCTGATTGCACCACTGAAACGGTACAATTTTCATTCACTTGTTACGATACCTTGGCCTGAGATGGACGTAGACAGGATGGACCTTCGCACTATAACCACTACACGTGGAGTTAGATTGGAGTCTTGCCACCACCATTTTGAGAGGTTTTTAACCATATGTATATATTATAGTAAGGTTGGTACAGTGTTTCATTTTTATTTTTTTTATTTATTTGAACAAACGGGATGAACCCCTCACAAATGAAAAAATACATATATAATGACAAAAATATCCAAGTACAAACTATCAAAATAACAAAAATTAATATGAAAGTCATAGCCATAAAAAGGATAAGAGTGTTGTAAAAAGAAAAAGAAAATAATATTTGGAATCAAATGTGTTTAAAAGGAGCAATTTTAAGTTGTCTTTCAATTCACTTAAAAGTCAAGATTGAAAAAATCAATCCTATTGGCATAGTAATTTAGTAAGCATCAGTTCTAGGCAGACTATTGAAGATATCATAATAGCTGTAATTTGTAGAAGATGCATTCACCCAGAAGCAGGTAGGATTTCTCATTCTAATCTGGGGGATGTGAAGAGAAATAAGTTCAGGGCAATCCATGGGTTCATGTAGCATTTTATTGAAGAAAATAAATCATAGAATTTTCTCCTATACTGAAGAGTTTCCAATTTAAATAAATTGTAGAATTTGGAAAGGTCACGATCAAATCTATGAATTGGTGTCCCATTTCTGAAAGGTAGGTGGCAAAGAAATTTACGGTGTATTGATTGATAGTTGGTTCCGGGCATGTCAACTAGGCAGTTTGTTAGACTGTAAGTGTCGTGCATGTTTTTGCTAGGGAGATGACTTTGATCTTCCCCCATTGTATGGTGAGATCTGACCCGGCCTGCCATCGGCTAGCGGGGTTTTCCCCAACCATGTATCTCTCACCAGTGGGGGCATCCGCCAGTCGGAACAAGCTCTCTGTTCCCGAGCAGTCTCCCGGCATGTGTGATAGCTTACTTGTACTTTTCCCAAACGATCCATAGATAATTTAGAGTAAGGTTACCAAAAGGCAGAGGCATATTCTAAAATAGGACGAAACAAAGATTTAATAAGTTATCAATGAACCAGAAGGATTTGGCGTTGTGCAAAATCAGACCCAAGGAACGCAGAGCTTTATTTACTGTATAAGTAATATGTATATTAAAATCAAGTTTAGAGTCAAAAATCACTCCAAGACCCCTGATGTTAGAGACAGTGCCCAGGGATTCACTACTTGAAGAATATGGGTAGCTCACAACATTGTCTCCAGGCAAAGGTCATTGCACGACACTTATCAGAGTGGAGTTCCATTTTGTTCGTAGTAAACCACTGTAAGAAGGCAGAGAGATACTCCAGTAAGCGAAAGGCTCCATTAAAATCAGTAATCTTGGCATATATTTTGGCATCATCCACAAACAATAAGATTTTACTGCATTTGATGGCAGATCAGTAATGAAAATATTTAAAAAATCAACCTAGATGAAAACCTTGAGGTATGCCAGAAACTAACTATAAATGGCTCGGACACATGGCCATTAACAATGACATACTGGCTTCCGACGGGAATATATGAGCATATTCATGATAGGAGTTGATCATTGATGCCTAAGTATGACAACTTGCCAATACATACGTCATGATTAACATGGTCGAAACATTGGCAAAATCTGTGAGTACACCAGACACTTCAGGACCGGATTTGAATGCATAACTGATATAGTTATTTGTGATCATTATGTAATAGCGTATTTTATTATGTTTTGCCATTTGTATATCTGCCATTTGTATACCTATAGTGTCGTTGTCCTTATTATTTTTATGTTTCACCACCAGCCCTGAGGACGGAATAAAACTATTCCGCAACATCCACAAATTATGTTTTAATGTCTTAATTCACTCTGAACACATACCGTGAATATACATTTCCCATTTCTTCTTCATGTTTGTGAATCTACAATGTTAAAAACGATTAATGTTGTATACAGTAAAAATTTGCCATGCAGAATACTCACCAGGAACTGTGCCATGCAAGTGAAGAGCACAATCTGCTGTCATCTGAAGTAACTTGACTCCATCATTGAATACATATGCAGATGGCTCAGTTATTTTTAGTTTATGGAATATAATGACATAACCATTGGGATCCCTCTCCGGAATTATACAAAAACGCCTGCAAAAGGTAAAAACATCACATGGGGGGTGTCTACATAAATCATAAAGAAATCTACAAAACATCATACAAAATGTTAGAAACTCACAAAACAGAAAGAGCTGTTTGGAGTTCAGGTCTTGTAACATCTCTGTTATTGAAGTGATAAGGTGTACTTGCTCGTAATTCATAGAAACGAGTAATACATTTTCTTGTTTTCTCCATATTGTAATAGCAACTGTGTAAGAATAAGATAAGTAAACTATCTGTGAAAAAAACACAATTTTTAATATCTAAAAATGTCTGAATGTGAATGGAAATTGTGTTGTAGTGACTATATTCAATTATTTCAGAAATACCTGGAATTTTGGGGATATTTGGCTTACATTCTGCAAGCCATTCCCTCAGAGACTCCATATCTTGTAATTTTAGTTCTGGATTCTTCAGAAATTCTTCTTCTATGGGCACAATACTCTCCATTTTTCAATGGTCTGCACACACATCACATGAAATAATTATTGAGCAACTAAACTATAAATAATTCATCATACATTAATAATTGAGGCACTTTTAACAGCACATTTCTATAATTAACGAAACTGAAATAAATTTATATTATCAACATATACAACATTGAAATGTAACTGTTGCTTACAAAGACACAGGAAACAAGAAAAGATGGTGGTGCATTGAAATGCTACCTTCTCCCTGAACTAGTACAATAAAATATTAAAATGTATGCAAATTAAAAGTCTATGACGTCCACTAAATTTACAAATGTCATTTCAGTCATGTGGATGTAACTACCAAGAACTAAAATTTTATTCTAGCAAATTCTGAAACAACACATTATTACCAACCATTATCAATTCAAAAATTAAATTATATGAAACATTTATTAAGTTGCAAAGATGCAGAGCATCACTCACCCATTCCTTTTCTCCCAAAAGCTGCTTACTAGCACTGCCAGTCATTGCTCCAGTCAATGGTTGAGCAATTGTAAGAAGCCACCACTAAACAACTGAACTACACTACTGAACAATACATCAAGTACACAGAGCAACTAAAAAGGAAGCCAAAAACAAAGTGAAAGCAACAACACACTTTTACTATGAATAACTCACTGTGAAGATCAATTCGTACTCTTTTTTGCAGTTTGTAATGCATACACTTCCAGATGCAAATAGTCCGTATCAATCTCTCTCACAGGTACAATTTCACCATCTACTATATCAGTGCACTTTCTTTCAGCTTCAACCCAAGGAAAATCTTCCTGGTTATTTGGATCATCTGTGAGAGTTAATGAAGCAGTTTCTGTTGTATGAACTTGAATTAAAAATGACGCATCTTCAGGTAATTCCTTTAAGGTCCTACAAGTATGAGATATTTTCAACAAAGCTGCTCTAAGAGATTCCTCAGTATGAATAAAATAACTATCACCAACAACTAAACGTGAATACAGAGCTAACACATCAAATACTATCTTGTCAATGGGAAGAGTGTTTTTGTCACAAAATACAACACAAACTTTCTTTACTTCATTTTTCTTAATGAGTTCCTGAATTCCTTTGAGGCTTTCAGTAATGTAAGAATTCACTTCAGGATGGATGGAACAATATACTGGTGTGCCATAAAGTTTTTTCTTCACAAATATTGTGTCTGGGTAAAGTCTTCTTGAATAAACAACAGTGTGAATTGCTATTTCCAAAAATTCAAGGAGAATGTCACCAGATAATCTCTCTGTTTCGTTGGACATTTTTAGAAATTATTTGCTTTACGAATGGTCTGACATTCGAGTACATGAAAATTACGAATACTAAATCATAAATTATCGTTTATAATATATTCACCAATTGGGCATAAACTACAAAAGCCGAAAATCGTCGAAACTTCGTAACAACAAAACTTCACAATGATTTGTCAATTGAATACGGTTAGAATACAATGGTAGATGATGGTAATTCACAGTTATTAGCATTTTCAATTGTATTCATTAAGTGAACTCTATTATCTGTAGAACAAATTCAGACTTGTCATATATTTAACGTACACAGAGAACCAATGAAACCAATACCACAATACCAATGTTTCAAACTTATTTGCTATGTTGGCCAACTTGAAGTGATCTTCGTTTGTTGCTAATTTATCTGCCACACCGCCACGACCCCACACGTCATCGTGTAACTTCATTTTGAAGCGTGGATGTGTAACTTCAAATTAATTGTTATTCAGTAGTATATTTTGTTGCGAAAATCAGAATTAAGTGTTTTTTTATGTTGTGGATTTACGAAAGAAATTTACATCGGAACGTTAACAGATCTTACAACGGTGACCGGCGACGCGTCACCTACGAATTTTGAGTCAAGATTCGCTACGATCACCGTTAAAAATGATTGATATTGATTCAATGCAACGCTATGTTTCTCCCGTGAATCCGGCAGTATTTCCCCACTTAACAGTGGTACTGCTGGGCATAGGGATATTTTTTACGGCGTGGTTTTTCGTGTACGAGGTAACGAGTACGAAGTTCACGAGAGACATTTTCAAGGAACTTCTTGTAGCCCTTGTTGCAGCAATATTTTCTGGTTTTGGTGTATTATTTCTTCTTCTGTGGGTTGGAATTTATGTTTAGCGGAGCATGTACAAAGTAAGTATAGATGGATAAAATTAATACGGTTATAGTTATGCCAACCTTTGGAGTGGGGTTATCGTTTTTAATGTATTTCCATCACCTCAAACCGTTGTCCACCCACCTTGATTTATTCACGCGTTTTTTCTATGCATAATGTGTTGGTTCCAGTTTGGAAGAGAGTCTAAGTTGAAAAGAGTTTATTATGAATGTTATGTAATATTTCATTATTTGTTTTTTCAGCACTCCAGGCCGCAGCTCCAGGAATGACTCAAAACATCTCACATGTCACTGTTATTGGAAATGCATTGTCAGCTATTCAGAAATTTTTCATTCCACTAAGTGTGAATTTGACGATTAATTAAGTGCAATAAAGAAAGGACCGTTTGTACATGCTGTGTTCATAAATAAACTTGTTATACTCAAAGACTGTTATTGTCATTTAGATCTGCCTTTCATTCGTTAAAGTTTAGTATACGGTACACCCTTAGAGAAGAGTGGCGGCGGGGCTAAAGCCCTAATTACTGTAGGTGCTCTAATAAAAATGAGTAAAACTTACGAATAGGAGGTTTTCATGGTTCACCCTTTACATGCTTTGTCCCCGGCACATTGTAATGCCAATTTACTTTTAAAGGCAAGTTTTCTCACCCGGATCCAAGTCACGGCAAGGCTTGGGCCTTCGGCCCTCGCGTTCACTATAAACATCCTCGAGTCTATCCAACGCATAATTACCAATTCAATTTTATAAGAAAGCATTTTTCATGAAAGCCTCCAGAATTCTGACTAACGCTGGAACGGTGCGAAGTGCCGTTTTAAACGACTTCCTTAGGTTGTACCATATACTACATTTCAGCCCTTTCATTTTTCTTCTTCGTTTTAACAAAGGAAAAGCAAAGATCCACCCATTGTTTAACCTATCTGTATCTATACTAATATGTTAAGACACAAGGGTTTTGCATTACAGCACGATAATCTCTTAATTTACTGGATCAATATCGATGAAACTTTTATTCTATCTTCCTTTGAAAGTACTATAGGCTATAATTTAAAACCATAAACCGTAATATATTCACAAAATAATTACATGTCGGTACTTTTTTTGCCTATTGTTATATCACAGATTCAAGACTGCATCAATGTGCAATAGTTAAGCTGCACTCCACCAGAGAATGATGACATATCTATGATTGAGTTGAGAATTGCGAATGTTGGAATCGTAAGGACCGTTTGTTGATTTTCCCGTCAATTGTTTACTGTGAAATGCTTATATTTAAGAATGATTCAGACGTTTTTTTTTCACTCTATTTTTAAAAGTAACTTGGATATTGATTTTACTTGTGTAGGTGTGAACGTATTAAGTGTTCAAGAAAATACATTTTGCGCTATGAAATGATAAGAAAACTACATTTGCTATCAGCAAAATGTCGTTAGATATTATCGTAAAGGTATGAACGCATGCATGTGTTCTACATGTTAGTTATTGGGTCAGTTGTAGGGCATTAAGCATAATTATTATGTATTTGCAAATTGCATGAGTTACAAGTGAAACATAATGTGAATGATTTACGTGTTATGCTTAAACTGTGACAGATGGATGAACTTGCGTAAGGAAGCGTTTTATTAGAGTAGAGAAAGCACATCTTTGGGTGGTGTAGGAATGATTATTTAAATTTATTAGAGTAAGTTTGGCAAGAAGAAGTGTAATTGAAGGAAAAAAGTAATGTGAAATAGAAGGAATTGAAGGTGCGTTAACACTGTTTTTCAAGGTTGTTGAAAATAAAACAAAAGAGGGTTTTTTTTTAATAACAAAAACTTTGGTGAAGCCAGGATACTCTGTGTGGTCGCGGATTTGTGGGGATATAATTGTCTAAGTGGTTAATAGCTCCTTTCGTTAGCCACTATTTACCAAGGACCCTGGCATGCGTACTCAAATTCGATTGAAACCATTTGATTTATATTTATATTTCAATTGCCTTGGCGTTGAGAATGAGTACATGTATTTTATTTTTTTGGGTTAGATTTTTTTTAAAATTATTTTTAATTATAAAGTGTGTGAAGAAGCTGAGTGATAAAGACAGGATATTTCCAGATGTAAGCGAAGCAGAGAGAAATGGGACAAGAGAAAGGGGATACAATAGAATAGATACCTGTAGGCTCTGCAGCAGAGCAGAAGTGGATGGAATACCTCTTTCTGTCTAATATATTATTATTGTAAATACCCAGTAACGCGGGGTACTTACGCTAGTGGTAAATAAATGTGGAATTGTTAAAAAGGAAAATAATTTTTTACTTCCAGTAAAATGTTGTGTGCTATGGTACTTCCAGATGTTTTATTCCAAAATTAATACTGGAACTACAATCAAAAATGAAACATAAGGATATACTGAGTATTAAATTTGAAACGTTTAACCCTTGCCACCAGCATAATTTCATTTGATGTTGTAAAGAAATGGACTTGACAACATTTGTTTCACCAAAATACTTTTAATAGTAGATATTTTTCAGTTGGGACTACTTCCTGCCATCTCATCAGCACCTATTAAGGTCCCCCATGGTCCTTTCCCCAGTGAGGAGTCCTCAGCTTTCCTCATGTATGCTGAGGTATCCCCACTCCGGCAATAAGCATGAGCAGACTGGGTGATTGTCTAGGGCCCTTCAGGACAAACAGCGTGATGATGGGACTGATGGGATAAAATTAATAAATTGAAAAAGATATTAGATACAGAGGAAATCATTATGCAATTTGCACAGCGATATAAAATAAACTAAATCGTTATTGTAATTTTATGTCTAGTAGGTAGTCTGATATTTCATTATATTTTCAATTATTGTTTTATCTTAAATATTTAATTATTGTCATTACTTATGAGGTGGAAGTTTATGAAATGAATCAAATGACACTAACATTAAAATAAGTTCCACAGAAATTGATATTATTATTCTATGTGTTAATCAAGTGATTTTATTAAACACTAGCTAAACATGTATTTTTTAGTGTTGTAAGATGACTGTGGAAATTGTTTTATTTGATACTTATACTTATAAGTATTATTTAAAATATATTTCCAAAAATGTTTTCTAGCTTAAACAATTTTTTTTATTTGTTGAAGTGCAATAACTTCTATAGTTTTTTGATAAAACTTTCACATGTTCAATTTTTTTTGAAAGAGGGTGGGGCTATGTTTTAGGATTGCCCTGGGTCCAGAATTGTCTAGCTCTGGCTTTGCTGATGTATCTCAGAAAATCCATCTTGGTTCTGAAACTTTACAATTATGTCCACAAGCTCATTTGGGTGTAAGGAGTTAGTTCCTCAACTCACAGTTACTGATCAAATCAAGGACTCTGTGTGTGTGTGAAAATGATGCAAGAGGCACTGTGAATGTATCCCAGTAGCATAAAGAAATGGGTGCGAGCCTGCCAGCAAAAGTTTTATTCAGGCCCCTTTTTATAAGTGTATAGCAAAAACAAGTAGTGTTGGTATCTTAAAAAATAAAAATATTTAACAAATTCGAATTCATCATATTCATTAATAACCAATAGTGGAAAAATTTCTCATTATTTAATTTTGTGAAATTGGGACTGTTATAAAACCTAAATGAATTGCTTACCTTTATTGATTTAGAAGCAAGGTTACATAAGCTACCAATGGGGAAACAAATCATTCTGAAAAATTCTGTTCGTAATATTTTATTGTATCGAGTAATTACCGCAAAGTATCGGAGGAAGTATCAAGAAATTATTTTTCACAATCGCAAAACTTTCAGATGAAAAAGAGGCCTTCTTTTTTCTGGGCCCGAACATTACGCCACTGATGTATTCCATGTCTCAAACACAATGGAATCAAGGGGATCAGCCAGTCTAGGTTTACAGATTCTTGTCTCACATGCAGTGGCGGTTCGTGATCATGCCATGAGGGTGTGCAACTTCTCTCCCCCCCCCTCACTCATACACACCAACATTCAAAGGCATACATAACATACATACATAAATAACGACAATTAAATACAGAGCACTTACGAAATCTTATAGCATGCTGAACGGCATCTTCATCAGCACTGAGGTTTGCCCGCATTTCTTTTCACACTTGCTTCGACTTCGCTCGGCAAGGACCCCTCCCAAATATTTACTACTACTATAATAATAATATTTATTGAGTCACATATACAATTACAATCGTGTATGATGAGTCAAATATGATATATTTAGAGGGAGCATACGTCTTGAGTGCAGTGAGTGAAGTTGCATTTATTTTTATTGTCCAGACGCAAAACAAGGGGCCATCTCAGCATTTGTCAAAGGACCAAGGAAACGACAAAAAACCTGATCCAGATGGGGTCATTGGCCTAGAGATTATGCTACAATACCTGTTACAGATACGGAGTCTGAATACCGCGTATCTACTCAGCACGTTCCGGAAGTGTTTTTCCAGGGGTGTTAAAGAGTTTTATTGTACACGTTGATACAAAACTTTTTACTCGCACTTTTGCTGGAGAGTGGTGGTTTTTTTCCCTTCATAAGCTTGCTGTACAAATTTTAGGCTGAAAGTACAAGTCCCCGAATACTCAAGACAATCTAGATAATTTACCGTCTACACGGTGTGACGAAGTCAATTCAATGCTATTTCTTTTCAGTAAATTTTTCTTCACGCCTGGCAGAAAACGAACACTAACTTCGGGTTTTCAAAACGCATAAAAAGTAGCTAACTAGATAAGTTAACAAAATGCATTTGGGTTTTCATTAATTCGAAATGGATTTGTAATTGCAACTCACTAAAAAAATATAAGAGAATGTGCATATAATATTAAATTAACACAATTCTTATGAATCCAACACAGCACAGCAATGCGTTCGCGTTTCGCGCGCTAGCGAAGAACTTTTATAGGAAGGGATGTGTGGTCTTTTCAGTGGAGAGATATCACACATCAGAAAGACACTTTCTACGTTAATTTACTTCTACAAACTTGTGCTAGCTGAGTGTTATACCCGAGACATGTCAAAGCATTCGCTGAGATCGCCCCTGCGCAGACGCAGTGGCGATCGCACACTCAACCGAATGCTCCTTCCGACCATAAAGCCACTCTTTTCCCTGCAAACCCGCGCCAGCTAACGACGTTCTCTACTCGTTCGCAATTCCCAAGTGTGCGCCGGCTGGCTTTCGCAAAGGGCACTGGCGACGGTCAATCGGTGCTTCCGAACGGTACGTGTTTTGAAATTATTTCGGAAACTCTCTGAGAGGAGTTATATTCCCCTCTTGTTTAGAGATGTTTAAGAATGCACCGAATGATTGTGGCTGATGATGTACCTAGTGCTGTAGGCCTTTGAGATTGCCCTTTGGTGGACGACCTCTCTCCGCAACTGTTCTCGCTATAGGACAAAGACGATAAGCACTCCCCTCTGATATTCTGAGGGCGTAGTGCAATACAAAAGCCGATTTGGTTACTAAGGTTTTCTTTTGTCCCTTCCACAGTAACCCTGTGGTGAAGGGGAATTTATTTTCTTTAAATTTTGTAAATTAAAATACTGCCATGCAGCTTAAGCAGCTAGAGGAGGGGCTTTTTCTTACAGTTAAGTTTTACATTCTAGTCCTAAAGTTAACTTACTTGCACTTTGACATTACTAACTTACACTAAGATTAGTTTTGTTAATACTATTATCCTATGGAAATTGTTATTATACGGGTGAGATATTTTTTTCTTTTTCTCTACATTCACACATAATGCATACTAGTTTCATTATTTACATAACCATTCATTCGCACTTCACTACACTACACACTGTTCGCCACGACACTGCCTTGGCTCGAAGTGTCCGTGGCGCTCGCGCCCGTTGGGAGGCGTGGCAGGTGGGGCGCGGCGTCGCGTTCCCCGTGCGTCCCTCGGCCGATGGCGAGTCTTCCCCCTCGCGCTCGCTGCCTCCGCTCGCTCGCACAAGGCAGCAAGCGTGTCGTGGGGCAGCGCGCGGATGGAGAAGGCGACGCGCTTCGGACCTTCCCGTAGGTGGGACCAGAGGGTAGGACCGACACGCGTCGCTGTTCGCCTCGCGGCCGGTGTCGCGCAGGATGCGCGGCGCCTTCGGACACAGCGCCCTTGCAAGCGCCGTTTTTGACCTTCTTTGGAGCTCCGGCAAGAATTGTTTTTTTACACCCAGACCTCCGAATGACTAAGGTCCGACGCAAACTCACACCAGTCACTTACACACAGCAGTAAAACGCAAAGACGAAGAAGAAGAAAGAAAGAAAGAAAGAAAGAAAGAAAGAAAGAAAAAGAAAGAAAGAAAGAAAAAGAAAGAAAGAAAGAAAGAAAAAGAAAGAAAGAAAGAAAAAGAAAGAAAGAAAGAAAGATAAAGAAAGAAAGAAAAAGAAAGAAAGAAAGAAAAAAAAAGAAAGAAAAAAGAAAGAAACACAATGTATGTGGATCTTGGTCTGAAATGTATTGACTGGAAATTACAGATTCAGAATGGAAAAGAAATGCATCGGGTAATTTTGCAGTGCATCGGGTAATTTTGAGTATGTTGGCAACCTCAATTACCAACATTACCAACACGAAAAGAAATGAAAATACCCCGTGTCTCGTTTGAATACAATCACCAATACGACAGTAATATTATTCATAAATTGCATTGTAGTAGGTGTAAGTGACGAGAACATGTGGCTTCGTGCTATGTGTGAACTGGTGTAAACGTGTGTGAAGCAATGTGGTTTCCAAGAGCTAGGTTATGCAGACATCGAAAAGGAAACCGCAGTCAGATATGCCAGACACGACCGATATGATTACTAGAATGAGTTAATATTTGAATAAATACCCATTCATCTTTAAGTACCGCCTTTGTCATTGTGAATGTAGCCATTCGTCTGATTCATCTGCAATTCCCTTTGGGGGCGGAACTCACAATTACTGATGAAAATTTATTTTTCATTAAGGATTTTAAAGGTGCGTAGGATGTCGAATGACCAGCTATTAAAAAAAAATATCATGTGTCATTTCAGTGAAATTAAATTGTGTTTCTCCAAATCGTAACTCCAACCCATAATTATGTGAATGAGTTGTAATTATATTTTATTCATTTGAATACCATTCTCTTCCAGCTTATCCTAAAAAATGATATCGATAGGAGCTTCAATTGTCATTATTTTAATACATATGGCTTCTTTATTTATTATTCAGACTGCCTTTGTACCTGATGAATATTGGCAGTCATTAGAAGTTGCACACAGTATTGTTTTCCAGTATCCTTTTTAAGAGCATAAAATATTGGGACTCTTGTTTCAAATGTGTTCATTATAGGCTTGTTAATTGAGATTTCAAATTCCTTAATAAACATCAGTTATGGTAACATAACATGGGAATGGCAAGAAGGGCTGAGAAGTTATATTTATCCTTCTATATTTGCTGTGTTGTACAAGGTTCTACAATTTTTTGAAATGGATACACTTCATATGATGGTAGGGATTTTTTCATATTAAAAATAATTTTTTATTTTATTTTCAATATCTAAATCCTTTCAATTTCACTAACAGTAGTGTTGGTTATTTAGGTCATGGCTCCAAGATTTCTGCAGGCATGCATCAGTATTGTATCTGATGCATACTTTTGTAATTGGGTGTCCAGAGAAGTCCCAGGAGCTGGTGGTCTTGCAATATTTGCTGTATCCTCTGCATGGTTTTGGTTATTTTGCTCAACCAGGACATTGATTAATACGATAGAAACATCACTTTCTGTTATTGCATTATATTACTACCCCTGGCCAGAGGAGAAAAGCAAGAGTAAGAAAAACAACTTGAGATTACCAGAAAATTTGCTGGAAGCAAGTAAAAACAATTTTTTTCTTGCATGGTGTAATTTTTACAACTAATAAAATTAAATAATAATTAGCTTTGTATCAAGGAATGCTATCAGTCATGGTATATCAGTGACTTACCTCTTATGGGTAGGACAGTCTCACAAATTGTTATGTTAAAAGAGAAATTCTGATTCTCATTAACAATAATAGTAATGTATTTGTCACATAAATACAGCATAAGCCCTGTATGACTAGTCAGGGTATGTACATAATCATACAGTATACAATACAAGTATTTATAATAATTAAATACAATACAGGAATTAAAATTAATTCCATTTTCATGCTAAATACTATGTAACACAACACTAATTAATTTTATAAATGGTTAAAATTGAAAAAAAAATAATAATAAAGAAAAAAGAGAAGAAAAAAATTGTCTTCATATGAGATTGATGCCTAGGCTGGATCTGCTCTTTATATGCAACCATCAGTATGGGAGTTTCAAAACATGCATCAGAATATTAAAAAAATATTAGTTCTAGTTTATAATGATGTAGATATGTGTTTATGATGTATATATTCTTTTGTACTGTATTTTAACAGGAAAGCTTTCAGTTCATTTTTGAATGAATGTTTTGAATTTAAACTTTTAAATTCACTACGGAGTTTGTTATATACTGTAATGCCTTCTAGAAGGGTACTTTTATGAAAGGGTGAAGTTTGACTGTGTGGAATATGCAGATTTCTTTTGTACATTTAGCATTATTATGTTAATAGATCATACTCTTTTTCAGTGGCTGGTCTAAAAACCTTTGTTCTTCCCTTTCTGATTGGGAATTATGTTTTGAGGATTGTAATTTGCCAATTTAATTGAAATGTTATAATACTCTTTCTAATTAATCTAGAAATAAATCTTTCTAGTTGGTCAAGTAAACAAGAAAATGCTTTGGAATGTGTGCTTCTTTTTTCATCAAGGCTTAGTATGTACCAACTCACCTTGCATAAGGATTTGAGTGATGGTTTCCCTTGACTTACCTCCTCCATTGGTACCTCAACTCAGAACTGTTAATTTTGATAACAACAGATACTTTCTAAAATGTTGACAAAATATGTTTTTCATTTACCTGACCAACATGCTTTTTAACCTACCAAGAACATTGTAAACCCTTGGTTGCAATTTGAAGTACATTTGGGGAAATTATGTATTTGTTCACGTTGTGGTAACCACAATAGGTCATATGTCAAATTTACCAAGTTTTAAGAAGGAACAAAAAACATTCTTCACCTCTTCCTGTCATGTAAAGTCTTGATATTTGGTTTTTCATTAGTTTGTCATCTTACAACCTATTGCAGGTGCTGCAATTATCTAGATTGATAACAATGGTGTAATAAACAACAACAAAAAAAAGTATTTGTTTTTGACATGTAATCTATTGCTTACCACAACAATTTATACGGTTTATATCACGATGTGATTTTATAATGTCTCTCTGTCGGTAGGGAGCTCGGCACCATTTTTGGCCCTGGTGGGCATTGCTGGTATAATTCGGCCAACAGCTGTAATTCCATGGATTCCATTGTGCCTTTGTCACATTATAACATCACCCCATAACATTCAGCGTACTGTTGTGAATTATTTACTAGTAGGGTAGGTTTCTCAAGACCAATAATATACAAAAATAATTTAATGAATATACGTTTCTTTTCAACAGAAGAGCAACAAATATTCAAAATAGAAAAAAAAGAAAAAAAAAACACTTGAAGAGATGTTAATTTTCGTAAAACATATAAATGACTTATTGGCTTTAATTTATTTTCAGATTATTGTGCTTAAGTGTGTTGTTGACAGTGGACTGTTATTTTTATGAACAAATTATCTTCACACCAATCAACTTTTTGTTTGTAAATGTTGTTAAAAATGTGTCCAATTTTTATGGAACACATCCCACACATTGGTACCTGTCTAGTGCCTTGCCAACTGTCTTTGGCCTGCATCTGATTCCGTGTGTGCTAGGGTGCATCAAGAGTTTTTCACGCTCAGATATGCCTGTTAAAATTATCAAACTCCTTGCAGTGTCTATGTTGTTTACTATAGGAGTATACAGGTTAGTACTAGGGACATTCTAAAATTAAAGAGACTAATTTGTCTGGAGAAATAAACATTTATTTTTGTAAAACAAGACTTTTCCTATTTTTCAATGTAATCCCCACCAACATTTATGCTCCTTATTATCTCCCGACCCGTTTTGTCAGTGGTTTCACGGGTTTGTTGACCAGAGTGGGGACGTGCATTGTTTTACAGGAGAATACCATCTCTCCTCTGACATCCACAAGTTCTTCTCTCATGGCGGGTTTCACCTTGTTCAAAAGCGTATTTGAGTAATATTGGATGTTTATAGTATGTATTCTTTGAGAAAATCACAAGAAAACCTCACCTTCACCTCCCAAAACACTGTCAACATAACTTTTCCATTGATGCTCCCAGAAAGGTGTTTGTCAGTCAGTGAGTGTCAACTACTTTTAAACTGTTCTACGTAATTGTAAAAATGCCTGCGGCTCTTACAACTTTCACGATGCACTTAAGTCATTTTAGAGAATATTTTAGCAGTTTTTCACCTTCAGTAATTACAAAATTAATCGCAGAACTTAGTTCAACAAATGTGGAATTTTCAAGATGTCAGGTTCATAACTTTTGTTATAAACAAAACAACAATGCTCATCCACCTGATAATCAGGGCTCATCCCAGGGATGCAAGCCCTAAAACGAGCAAACTGTTTTTTCTCCAGATAAATTTGTCTCTTTAATTATTGAATGTTTTTTGGTCATGTAGAAATTTGTTGAAATTTTAATCTGTTGAGTGAATTCAGTATCCTGTCAGAAATGTTTTTATTTTCAGTTTCCTCCCTCACAAGGAGTTCCGATTCATTCTCCCTTTGTTACCAATGGCTCTATTTATATCCATCAGCTGGTTTTTCCACTTTCAGAAAACGAGTCGGTGAGTCTCATTTGTGCATTTTGTGATATGGGTAATACGATTCTGCTGAGTGTTTTGTGAAGGGATGTGATTCTATTTTCAACTTTTTCTTCAAATTCCTAACTATTTTACTCCAGTCTTCAACAACATTTCAAGAGCTTTTGTGCCCCCATCTTCAGGTCTAATAAAATAATACAATTCATCTTAATTCCCAAGTTATACATTCAGGAATTAAGATGAATTGTATTATTTCATTACATAAAGCTCATAAAATATAATACTTGTGTCTAAATTAGAGCCCCAAACTGACTTTTAACGATTTCATTTTGTCATCTCTTGTGTGAAGTATTTGGATAAAGAACAATGTTTTGTAGTCGGATAAGTTTTAAGAAAGTCAGTGGGTAGTCATTTGAACTACTTACAGTACTGGGGATTACTTGCAAGAAATGAGAGCACTTCTTACTGCTGTTGTAATTGTTTCAAAATCCCTTTGGAGCTGTACAAAGACTTCATAGTTGTGCCCTAAGGAAGCAGGTGTCACAGTTTGTAGGATAATTTTTGTTACGTCTGCTAGTGTGTTGATTGAAAGCACAAATTTGGAGCAAAGCTGCCAAATATTGTGAAAATAATTTTGGCAATATAATGTAGCATGCCAGGAAAGTCTCTCCGCAGGGGCACTCACATCATGAGACTTCTTGCAATAGAAATTATGTTGGCAGCACAAGCTACAGCTTGAAAACATAAATTGTGTCATAAGTACAATCATAATAGATGGTGGAGGTGTTGTCTATTTCACTTGTTTCCCAGTGATCTGTTTGCTACCAACACAAATTCAAATTTCACCAACACAATATGAGCCCCTGATTAGGCTTGGTGCGGAAAGAATTTCCTGGTGCACGTTGTAATGTATGCAAAGTACAGTAACCAAGGATATGATTATAATTTTAATTTCTTGTAGGTGCTTTGCCACAGTGCTACATTTTATATTTTTATTGGCCTCTGTCATTCCGTGTCTTTATCTGGGCTTATTTCATCAACGGGGAACCCTGGATGTGATGCAAGATCTGGCTCAAGATGCTGTGGATAATCCTCTTCACACCGATTTGTTGTTCCTTATGCCTTGCCATTCAACTCCCCTTTACAGGTACTTTCAAAAATATCACACCCCTAATGTCAGAGGGTCACATCTCCAAAAAAAAGTGAAAATTGAGATACATCCAATTCCTCGTTTTTCATTATGTGATATGCAACAATGCTATTTTTTAGTTTCGTAAATAGCCAAATAATATAAATTCAATTTACATTGAATTACCCTTTTTATATGCCCTCGAGAAAACTTCCTAAGGCTCCTGCGAAATGAGTGATTTTGGAATTGTGGCCCTGTGGCATTAGCGGTACAATATATCGTGCATGCAATTGGCATAGTGAGCTGGAATTTAATGCTGAATTTATTTGCAGTCATCTTCACGTCAACGTGTCTACGCGCTACTTAACTTGTGATCCTCGTGATTTATTTCATTCCAATTTACTTCAAGATGAAGCAGATGAATTTTACCATGATCCTATTGCTTGGTTGGAAAAGAATTTAAATTCGTTGCCAAGTCACATCATCATGTTTGATGTCCTTTACCATCAGGTAGCGGAATTCTTAAATTCCAGATCCTACAAAGTATTTAATTGCTATCATCATGCTCATTTTGCCGAAGGACGAGTTGGTCAAGTGCTGTATGTTCTTAAACAAGGATCAAGGTAAACCTTCAAGGCCCTTCCACAATGCAAACATAAACATAAGCGTCTACATGAAAGTTAGGACTATGTAAGCAGACTCATTCACAAAGCGTTCGCATAAGTATAACACGTACATTAAAAGCTTGCAAGCTTCGAGCTTCTGTGCTTATGCTTAAGTAAGACATAAGAAATGAACTAATCACAGTACACAGTCAAAATCTAGTATCAAAATAGGATCAAAGTCAATAGACAAACTGATGCCATGTATCATGGGCCATGGACACAGTCAATACCTCGAAATCAATTCTCGCATTCCAACCAATAGAAAACTTGAGGATCTCTCAGCCAAAAGAAATTCTTATTGTGCTTATGTTTGTGTTAGACATTGTGAATACTTCAGCAAATCACTTATGTTAATGTTTATGTCTATGTGTTATGCTAATGTTTATGTATGCATTGTGAATGGGCCATCATTATCATGAACGTTTGGGTAAATTCTGTGAAGAACAAGTATCGTTTTCACCCAGGAAACTCTAACCCTAAGGTTTACATGATAGATTTATCATGTTTCAATGAGTTAAATATTAAGTTGTTTAACATTTCTATTGCCAATGAATTGTGCATGACCTTGCTACCTTTTCATTTATAAACATTGTTCTTATCTGGCTAGTATATTCTAGTATACTCATGATTTTTTAAAACTGATTGAAAGGCAGTTTTTTTATTATTTATTTTGTTACTATGCAGTACCTTATTTGTGACTTATCATACATGATTGTAATTGTATGTATGTAAATCAATAAATGTTGTTGTTGTTATTATTATTATTATTATTTAATTATACTTCATATGTTTGTGGTGACTACATAAATTGTACAGTAGTTATCCCTCCTCTTCTTGCTCTACTTTACACAATCCTTCAGTCTTTGCGGCCACTTAACACATTGGCTGCCATGCGATACCATGTGGACATTTGTCACACGGATTTTCAGGGACATTCAATTTTTTTAACACAATACAATATGGTATCATAGGAAAACTTGATTTTTCATTTTTTATTATGAGACCGTATTGTCTCATGCGTTAGCTTGTCCCTTTTGTAACACTTACCGCTGGTCTTATTATAGTGTTAATAGTTGCAAATCTTTCCCTTGAGTCCATATGGTCTCATACATTTTTGTAAATAACTTTAATTCAGTAAAGTATTATGTAAATATTGGTACAAGTTTCAATGTCCTAGCATGTATAGGAGTGTGTCAATTACCATTGGTACGCAAAAACGAGTACAGAATCGATGTGTAGTGTAGCGAGAATGTGCTTGACAGTGAACATGTTTAAAAGTCAGCCTATTAAATGTTTCTTCATTTTGTCAAGTTCAGGCTCTGTTGTGGATGGGAAATGCACTGCCAATGCCAGGTGTAGGCTATTGTCCATTGTAGTGCAAATAAGGCCTAGTGTTACTACGTGTTTACTCCACAGTATCTTTCCATACAAGATTAGGTCAATAACATTGTAAATCCATCATTTATTCTGATTTATATGAAAAAAATTACTGTAGCAGATCATAACAATCTAATTGTGATGGTAAAACAGATGTTGCTCTTGAACGAGAAGTAGAAAGTGATCATCTTTAAGTGATTTGGGACAAGTACCCTTCACAGCTGGATGATGCCATTAGTATCACTGCTTTACAATGCCTCTCCAATGCAGAAATGGAAAGTCATAACTCAATTAGCAAATGCTTGAATGAGTTCTTTGGCATGCTGTATGTCTTTTTGGCATCACTATCACTTTCCTAATATTTATTTATAAATGTTGGGTAAATAAAGTCCAATTCCTTCCCAATTCTGGCCAATGGGTGTGAGACGCTACCTATCAGCAATTCCTTGGCTTAACTGCAACAGATGTGATTTGGTGGTTAATAACGGAGGATTACTCCACGGTAAGGAGTTAGGAGTTGCGTTGCATCAATATATTCCACTTCCATGAGTCCTCGCCATCCACCGACGCAATAATTTAATTGTTGGATGAAGAGAGGGAAGCGATATTTCTGTTAGGGGGAAAATGCGAAGTTTACATATTCCCTGATACACTCAATAAAGTATATTTATTTCTAAATTATTCATAAATGTGAATAGGCCTAGTGGCTAACGTTTTCACTGTATTAAAATCTTCTAGTTTTCATGTAACATTTCATAAAACTATAACATCGCACCATTTTAATAGTCTGATACGGAGATGGAGAGAAAAAAAAAAGAGAGCGTGAAGGTGGCGGGAAACAAGACAAACTACTATTGTATGGTATCGTAGTTGGCCTTGCGGGAAAGTGCAGTGATAGAGCGTGACACAGAACTTTCCAGACAGTTTTGGGCAAGCAGACTGTTGTAAATTTCTAGAAAATTTAAATTATACTACTGTAAAAGTGGGGTATTTATAACATGTCAATATACGAAAGCAAACGGAACCGACAAGAAATGTAAAAGCTGGGAAAACCTAAAAGCGGGGTTTTCATCTATATTGGAAATTAAATATACTTTAACCAATTAAACTAACACTTAGCTAAATTGCACAGTCAAGCACAAATTATAAATCAATAGTATTATAAAAATAGGTATATTTGTTATTTTCTATCTTATGAACATAGGCGTATTGCAGTATAATGTGTTGTTGACCGTTGTACTGCAAGAACTGTTGTGCAGTTCTGTCTTGAAAATAGTGAACAAACACAGTTAATAACAGCTCAGGCAATGAAAGCTGACCTCTTTAGTGGAGATTATTCCCATAGTACAAGAGCCAGAAAGTTGTTTTTAGTTTTATTGGTAGGTACATGTAAGCAGCTTTGTTGGGCATTAGGTATAGAAAGTGAAAGCATTTCAGTGATTTACACACAAACCAAACTGATACTTTTGTTTCTTCTTTTACTTTTCCACTTGCATTTGTAGTAATTCATTTTGTTTTCAGATAACAATTGAAAATTATGTGTGGCAAACTCAAAGAGTATTATAACCTCTGAAGAAAGTGTAGAGATTGGATCTTGGAGAAGAATGAAAGGAGGATAAGATTAAGGAAGGAAAATAAACTGGATGGAAGCGATCTGGTCAATTTTGAAATTTTGATTATTAATAAATATTTTATATACAGTAAGCAAGTTTTGCCTTTCATTCTTTTAAATAATTTTTTTTCTTGCCAGTTTTGTAGAACAGTTGCAGTCACCTATTAAATTGGTGAGTTCCTCGAGGTTGGATCACAATAAATAATTTTATACAAGTTTTTATCGGTTAGAAATGAGTATTTACAATATAGATACACAACCATCAAATATGGAGTCTTACATAATTTATAATACATCACTTGTATCACTTGTATTCTTCCTTCAAAAATTGTTGCATCCAGCGCCCATATTTAGCCATGTCAGTAAAAACAACGTAGTTGAGCAAGTCACATCTATTTTGTTGCCTGTCATAAAGGGAAACACTTGTTATCCCCCTGAGGTACCAACGCGGTACTGTTCCATCACTGAATCTAAGGAACATGCCACTTCCGCTATCACCATTACATGGACCAGAATCTGCAAATAATTTTCATAACATTTACATAAGATCAAGGTTAAAAAATCATGAATTTTTTATTGAAATCAGATTTAAATTTAAATATTTACTTTAGGGTTAGGTAAAATTTTTAGGTGTTTGAAAAATGAGAGAAAAAAAATTGAAGAACTTAGTAGAACAATGGAACTACCCCACATTGACCTAGTTCTGAGATATTAAGGGTTACTAGAACTTCCATAAAAACTCAAAAATCATGGATCAGTAAAACCTTCCTGGAATACTTTTTTATACATATGAAGGCATTTTATACATTTCTGGAAATAATGAGAAAAAATTAAGTATCTCATTAAATTTCTTGAGATTTACAACAATTGTTCTTGATTCACCAACATTGGTTCTGTGCTTTAAATACCATCTGTTGTAAGAAAAAAATTAATTAGTCCAAATAAACATGTATTTTGAGTATATAATTGTCCAGTTTATAGAAATCAGAAGTCACAGCGTCTTTTTCATCATTTGAAAATGACACGAATGTTTACCATTTTCTATCGCAAGGATTAATGGCAACAAACTGTTCTTTTTAAAAGTATATTTTTCTGCGCTATTCCTCACCTTCTTCCTAATATTTTCTTTTTAGTGTTATGAATACATTTTCCTTTCATTTTATCTTCATTTTTTAATCATTCTTTGTCAGATTTACAGTAAATTATATTTTTCATTTTAATGTTTTGTTTTGTTTTGTTTTCTGAATCGTGCGATTTAAATCCATGATAAAAATTGCATCAAAACCTACAAGATAGCTCTAACATAGTGCCCTTAGTTACAAATAGCAGCGTAGGAAAAGAGAAGAGTAATGTGTTTTCATTATTGTACATTTAGTGAAACTTTCGTATGGACAGTAGATCACATATAAATTTTTCAAATCAAAAGATGCCTCCATTGTAAACTGGTACTTCACTTGCAAAACAAAATTTCACACAGACCACCACTTTCTCTTCTGTAGATTAATTGTTAGGTACAAAGTTATTACACAATGAATTTTGGTTGAATAATAATTGACTGTACCTCTTTAGATTCTGGGCAACCAGTTAATCATTGCGAACACAAGTTCTGTTGTTTATGAGAGATTTCATTTCTTGAAATAGCCAAGACAAAATAAACCTGTTTTTGCCTTGGCAAGAAATTTAAATTTCATTAAATTACATTTGTGTAGTAGAATGCATCATGTTTTTAATAAATTTGATATTGATTTTATTTTTGAATGCGAATTGCGAAGCAAAATATTGAAATTTGAAAAAACAAGGTTTTATTTTTTTATTGTATTTATTTAATTTTTTTTAATGTGTGATGCACTATACTGTGATATTGATTTGCTTACATACAAACTATAATTTTCTTCTGTATACAATTGGACAAATTGTCTGTTAATGAATTATTAATAACTAAGAATAAGAATAATAAATAATAATAATACATACTGTTTCTGAATCCTGCACAAAAAGTTCTCTTTGAAGTTATGCTAATGAAATCCGGTTGGCTCAGTAGACATTCCTCTTGAGATACAATTGGTAGTTGAGTTTGACGAGGTTCGTTGGTTGCCTTGTGTCCCATTTCATCTCGTCCCCATCCAATTACCTGATGTCAGAGAGAAACTATTATTGTACAAAATTCAAACGTAGGTACTTTGATTGCTTTTTTTAATACTTACGGTTCCTTGCATGCCGACTACTGCTTCCAATTTTTGGGAGCCTGCCCATAAACATATTGGCCTTATGAACGGTGTGTATACTGCAGCAATTAATAGTCGCAATACTGCTACATCAGCATCAAAACTTGTTGTTTTTGCGTAATCAGGATGTACAAAGATGTGCTCAACCTTAAAAAATGAGTGAATATCATAAAAGAATTACCAGATTATCAAATGACCACCGCAAGGGTTTACATACCAAGAAAGAACTTAAGTTTTTATTTTCTGGGAAGAAACGTTATTAATATTAATTATTTGAATAGTCTAAAACCTTAATCTGAATTGGTTTTTTATATAAGGTGACACTATATCCGTATATACTCCAATATAACCCGCACATTTTTTCAAAAATTAGTAGCTGAAAATTGGAGTGCGAGTAATATTCGAATCGATACCGCGAACTTGAAACTTGTTGCACGTGATCACATGGCGGCGTTGGTTAAACTTCGTTTTTTTAACGTGGCGCATCAGAGCCAAAGAGGGTCAGCCATACATTTGTGCTGTATGTCAGGGCCTGACTTCACGATGGAATATCCCGCGTCTTTCTCGGTCGTGTCGCTAAATGTCGCATGCTCGCGACCGTATCCTGCCTCGAGAAATGCAGTGACGTCGTGCCACTGTGAAGACTGGCCTTGGGGCGCAGCTTTATAAAAATCGCACTCTAACCAGTGTTGAGCGGCGGGCCTTTCAAGGACAGAAACTTTGCAATCAAAACGAAAAAAGTGATTTTTTTCCCCTTTAAGATTCCTTGACGGAACATTAGGGTGCGGATAATATTAGAGGGTGAGTTATATTCGAGTATATACGGTATTATGTTATTAAGTACTGTAAACTAAAGATACTGACTCCTTTATAATTTCATTACAACAATCAAACAAGATCGTAACATAACTTTTTCTGTAATTTATTTAGGGCTTCAACAAATAAAATGGACTGTAAATCAATGTTACCGCTGATAATGATAAATATGATAGACATTTTTTTAAAAAATCTAGGTGGTCGAAGTTAACAGACAGTTGAGGATACTTTGAATACAGCTACAAAATACATCACAAAGTCAAATTCAACATTTCATAAAAAAACTGACTTTTGGAATTAAATTATAATAGTACTTGCAGACTTTCTAATAGTAGTTCTTGACAGACATGTCTAGAACTGTAGATAATACAATATCAAAGGTACATGTCTGAATTTTACTTTATTTGTTATGCAAATGCAATTAAAACCATCCTTTTTTGACAAGCCAAGAACAATTTAGCTTTTTGTCTGTAATGCCTTTATTGTTTGCCTCCAGGCAAACAAATTTCTTTTGCATCTTAAATATTTTACACTGCAACAATGTTGGTCAGTAGAAATATTTTGAGTTCCATTTAGTAATTGAATTTATCATGTTTCATTGTTAGTACTTTAACAATCACAAAACGGTTGTATTTCAATTTTCTGCCTTTTCTGATAATGAGATTCCTGTGCCCAAGCTCAAATTTAAAACAGCTGTATGTTGCCTGTGTGGGAATCTATGGAACTGCCAGCTTCTCAGCACAATCTAAAATTGTTCCCAACAGAACACTGGTTATTTTTATATGTTTCTGGTTAAAGTATACCCGTCAGTCAAAGTGTCCCTGGCTTACAGTAATTATCTTCCAAATTCTATCTAATAAATTAATACACAGTACCAACACAATTAATAAAACATATTAGGTGTGTAGGTTCAATGTTATTAACATAATTCTCAAATTAGATGTTTTTGATATAATTGTATTATTTGAAAAAGTAAATTTGTAATGTTTCTGTGTATATATTTTCTCAGTTTTAAGTATTTGCAACTTAAGTTTTTCTATTTTAAACAATTTTTTACCTCATGAGCTCGACTGTGAATATCTGCTACTCGCCGCAAGTTATATATTCCAAGATACACTACAATTTGGTGTGGTTCTACTTCTGGTTGATCCTTTGGCTTGACGCAATGTCCCGCTGCAATATAATGAATAAATATTTTTAATTAATAAAAATTAGGCTCATGTTTAAGCAAACAGCAACTTCTGAATGGATCATTTTATATTTTATTAAAAAGAGGAGCACTTTTGAACAATATCGTACCTGTAACAACGTGCTTCTTGTTTATTAAGGTTGCACTGCATTGAAATTCTAAATTTCCAACATCTGGACTGACAAACATTGCCGCTATCCAGGGCCATTCTCCTCTCGCAGTACCTTGCCCATTAAATACTAATTCGTTTGCGGCAATTGATCGACCACAAATATCTGCAATAATGATACACAATATTGTAACTTTATTTAAAAAGCTATATTTAGCTTTAGATTTATTTCTTAAATAGCATAGTACTTACTTGAGCTTGTTTGATGATAATGAGGACTGTTAGTTGTTTCTCGAAATGGTGGTTTTGTTTCAGTGGGAATTACTGGTTTAGGTTTTGCTGGATGAGAATTTGGATAATTGGGATGGGTTTGAATGTTTGGATGATGGGTTGGCTGGGGTCTTGGTGGCTGTGGTCGATGAAGTTCTCCCCCTGGCTGAGTGCCAGGAATAAAATTTCCTTGTGCGCCAATACTGGTCCCAGAGTTGAGAGGAGTTGCGGTAGGATAGAGAGTATGTTCTAAAGCGATCTGGGTAAGAACAGGACTGTTTACTAGAAAAATAAAATTTCGTTTAAGAAAGATTATAAAAAAGCAACATAGAAATATGACACCAACATTGAAGTGAAGAGACCTACCCCTTGGTCCAATGCACATAGGCTTGTCATTGACAGAAATGCGATCCACTCGAGGTAGAGGATAGAGTAATGGAAATAATAATGCATATTTTATGCTCTCTCTACTCCCTGCCAAAATTTTTCGAGCTACTACGTCTTTATCTTCTAGTAAAAGGATTCGTCCTGCATATTTCTGAAGAAAAAAGAAAAGTACACTTTTAATTATATTATTAGTAATGTAAACTAAGAAATATCCAAGGTTCAACAAGCTTTTCAGGTTAGATGTGTTATGATAATTCTATTAAATTCCAATGAATATTAGAAGAGATTTTTCAGAAATCATTATGGTGGCCTTGTAAATATACCGTAATGATGTCTTTGACATTGTGAATGATGTCTTTGTGAATCTTGTATAGAAATGAACAGGAAATAGTGCAATACAATTAGGAAAAAATATTCCAAACTGTCATTTGTTTCTGACATTTTCAAGAAAAGGCAAGTTAACTTTGCTACTGATAAAAAGTTGAATGTGGAATTCAAGAATTATTGGAATATTATAATGAGTTCACAATTATATCAATATTTCTCTGTTTATTGCATTATTATCAACTGATAATTATTGTTAAAAAACAGACATTAAAAAGATGATAGTAAAGACTAGACTATGGCAGCAAAATACTGCTTGCTCGGCAAGCAGCATTTTGCTGCCATGGTCTAATCTTTACTATCATCTTATTAATGTCTGCTTTTTTAACTGCTTTGCTGCTGTAGGTGCCTACGTCCAAGTAAACTGATTTGCAAATCAGTGAAAACTTGAATGCTGAAGATATTGAAAGCACTAATTCAATAATACACACAGACATACGTTTTAGAGAGTAGTTTGAGGTATTGAAACGAAAGTCCACGTATGCCACATTACTTTATATGGTGGGGAAAATAATTTATTTCTATTGCATTTTCTAGTTTGAAACAATTCCAATTTTTGAGATATTGGCATTACTTTGATTTTTACCATTCTAAATTCCTCATAAAGATGAATACAAGATATAAGTATTTTTAATATTTAAAAAGGAACTAGAAACTCTGTGGTGCAACATAATAGCACAGACCTTCTTGTAGTAATTAGTTATCTAATTTCTTTGGAGGCTTGGGCTAGCTTTTCAGTTTTGCCTCACCTTTTTCCCAACTCCCATCTATCACCGCCCAATGTACATTTTTTCAAATTTTGTTTAATTTTTTGGTTTCTTAATGGTAGAACTGATATAGGACTTCAAAAATATTACAGAAGAGTAAAGTAAAAAACTATTACAGTACATTTAGCACTATCCTTACCGAAAGTTTTAAGAAAACTTTTGCAGCTGTTTGTGAGAAATTCTTGTTTTTGATCTTTTTTAATATTGCACAAATCTTACTCAATATTGCTCAAAAACTACTAAAATTTTTAAAAAATTTTAATGACCTTAATGAAAGAACTTATTACATAGAACAGATCTTATTAGAAGGAAAATCTCCATCTATAAGTTTGTAGTTGTATGAAGGTGCCAAAAAATGTCAAACCTTTTAATTAAAAAAAAAATACTTAACAGTGAAACTGAGACCTATGTCATCTCTGTAGGTGTATTTCATTCTTCTTACAAGAAATTTAAAGAAAAAAAAATTTGGTCCAGAAATGGCTTTTGAGAAAAGTTTGAAAATGTTCCAGAGTTTTCGTGTAAAGGACCATAGAGCTTCGAAGGAAAACAGATTGAGTAGATATTCGGTTTAAAAAAAAATACTATGAATTGTTAAGACGCTAGTCTTGTTCACAGAAGGACGAAAATTTGGAAAAATAAACACCACCTGTTCAGTAACGGGACACAAAAAATGTATTTTCGTTAAATTCTGGAAATCGATTATCCGCAGCATTACATATACATGCCTAGGCCCGGCCGATAATTTGGGTGTGGTGGGAATTTACCTACTCGGAATTTTGAGTGAGAGAAAAATTCTAGAAATGAACCACGTTTCTCTATCTTGAAATAAAACGTTTATGTGAACTAACGAACATTGTAACGAACTATCTACATTGGAAAATCGGCTCAACAGTATTGCCATATTACAAGTTTACAGTGGCGACATGACGGACAAAATCGATTTCCAAAAATTGTTAAATGTATTTTTATAAAAAGATGCAAAGCGCAGCCCTAGTTTTGCGTTGCAAAAATGAACTCTGAAGTTACAGAAATTAATTGTGATAACAATTTAATACTAAACATGACAATTTGAAAATTTATGTTTTGTATTTTTCCCTTTACGTAGATTTTCGGGGGGGGGGGTGTTGAAGATAAGGAGGGGAGCTTCCTCCACCCGGGTCATGTACCCACTCGGACTTAACACCAATCGCCTTGCGTACGCCATATACGTACACATTTTCCACACGCACCACAGGTCTAAAATACAACGAAATTCAGTATTCCCATTCGTACTTAAAGCCTGAGGGCAGAACGCGCGGTTATTTTTTTAATACATTTTAGACGTTTCTACATTTTTTCTTGTGTTTCTAATTTTTATTTTTCCTACACGTTTACCATTTTTATTTTTTTCACTGGACCTTGGGGGGAGGGGGGATGGCGTGGCCCCCTCGATCCGACACTGTCATTACATCAGAAACTTTCGTCACCACCCCGTTCCTTTCATCAGCCCCTTTCTGTGGCCTGAATCGTACCTGCTCAAAGCAAAACAGGCGGAGTCTTCATTCACCGTTTTGAAGTTGACTTACGATGCGCCTCAGCATTGAGCAACTAAGATTTGTGCTGGACGTGCATTTCCGAATGCGTTTATCAACGAGCACCAAGCAACTTTCAGAGAAAGTTTTTCGTCTGAGTCTACTACGGTCAGTGGAATGATGACGCGAGGCGGGGAGTGCACGATCGGAAACGCAGTCTCTGCAAGTGCTCACAAAGCAAAACTAGAGGACGTTCGGGATATTCTTTCAACTTCCCTGAAAACGTCATTCAAACGCTCGTTAGAGCGAACATCTAAAGAGCTTAAGATTCCTGATCGGGCTGATTGCATGGAATTCTGTAATTGGCTACGACGATTTGCTAGCTGTCGTGAACATTTTTTTTAGTAAGGCTTGTTTTTATCTGGATGGATGTGTTAACCAGAGAAACCGTAACTCTGGGGAACTCAGAGACCAGAGGAAACAGAAGAGAGGCCGTTACTTTAAAGAAAGATTGGAGTATGATGTTCCATTTCTCGCCAGAGCAAATTGGTTAGTTGTTTCTCAAAGAAACAGTAACGACGTATACGTATCAGAATATATTGAGCATTTTGTGTCCTTTCTTGAGAGAAATTGGATGATTCAGAAAGACATCACATGGGGTGACATCACATGGGGTGACATCACATTAGGGTGACATCACATATTGCCAAGTCAACAATGCTATTTCTGGAAAAGGTTTTGTGAACAAAATCATTTTGCGAGGTCTGCGCCCCGCTCGTTTGCCTCACTGGTTGCCACTGCATTGTTATCTTCGGGGACGCATTTCCTGCGGCCATTGCCCTCTTAAGTGTAGTGCATGTTCTTATCGCGAGAGGTGGAGTGAAAGTCGTCGGGTATGTCGGCGTCGGATCGCGCCATCAAAAGTATGAACTATACTTATGGGAGTGATGGCCTTCGCCGTGGACGCGCGCGGAAGGCGGCAGAGGCACTCACGTTGGGCAGCGCGGCCTCGAGGAAGAGGTCGACGCGCAGGCGCACCGGGCGGCCGCGCGCCGGCGGCCACGCCCACACCTGCGCGCGCCACACGCCGTCGCTGCCGCGCGCGTACTGGAAGACGTCGGGGCACGGGGACGCGGGCGCCGCCAGCGGCACCTGCGCCCGCCCGCCCACCGGCAGACACCACAGCACCACGGCCGCAGCCGCAGCCGCCATCGCCGCGCCCCACATCCTGCAACCGAGACGGGATTCATTTCAACTAAAATGGCTGCACCAACGCTGCAATAAGCGATCTAAACATAAACAAATGGATATATAAGGGTGGTAAACACCGGTACGGAGTGTCAAATCTCCATGAAAGTTGGAACACCTATGTGTTTTTTCACCCATAGGTTTATGAGCTGTTAATTTTGCTGTAACTCCACTAGATGGCGCTGCAGAACAAAATTGCGCTTCATTTTAATTCAATTTACAATCGAATTTGCTCCAACTGGGCTTCGTCGTCGTGAGACCCGGAGAAACACGGAGAGACACAGAAAGGGAGAGAAAGTCAGAGAGGGAGAGATGGGGAGGGACAGAGAGAGAAAGAGGGGGGGGAAGGAAAAAGAGGGAGATGAAGAACGTCTCCCAAGTTCCGCTAGTGTAGTATATTTACGCACTACAATAGTGCTTTACATGTGTGTTTTTAATAGGAATTAATATTAATTATGAATATAAAACACCAAATATCTGGACACAATTTACCTTCAAATAAACAAGCGCTTGAAATTTATTTTATAACATCAGGGAAGTAAAATGAACAGATATTGCAAGTGCTAAACTTGTTCGTGAGTTTTCTGGGATTAAGCAAGAATTCCGACAAAAGATAATCAACATTGTTTGCAAAACTTACTAACTTCTATTCGGAGTGGAGAAAATTAAAAATTGCAAAGAAGTGTGGAGGTAAGTATAAGACTCGTGAAAAGAAATATAAACAATTTGGGCAATTTATCTGATATTGCACATACGAATGCTTTACAAATGATTACGTTGGAAGAAGACTGGGTGTTTCTACTTTGGCAGAGAGACAGGACGTAAGGGTTACCTTTCAGGAGTAGACGAAAATCTCACGGAGAAGGAAGAAAGAAAGGGAGAGGCAAAGAACACACATACAAGAAGAGAAAGGGAAAGCGAATCAACAGTGTGCAGCGTCTACATCTTCTCATGTACCCCCTTCATCGTCTGAAGGTTGAACAACGAACTTCCAAATTTGGTGAATTTTTAGCACAGACTTCCGAGAGTTCATCAATATAAAATGCTGGAAGGCATTTACAAATTAATTACTCCTAAACTAATGGCTGTTTTAGATAGATACGATACTCTGGCGACTTATTGCTACAGAAGAGGCACTTGGCCACAATATCCACGCCACTCCCAAGAATTCTCTATTAATAAATCATAGTTTTTTTTCGAATCAGACACAAGAAGAGAACGTTATAAAACAATTATTTTTTACGAGTATTATATCTGAAATTGTTATTTAATGTAGGCAAATGTTTGCCATCCCAATAAAAAATATCAGCCCAATATCAGAGACCCAAAAGAAGAAAGACTTCCAATTGTTACATGTGGGTAATACATTTATTACATTTGGATAAATGTATCTGTTGATTGTAACTGTTCATGTCAAACCGTGGCTTCTGTTCAGTGCAGCTTAAAAGCTCATTTTAAAAAGAAGATATTTTGATAAATTCTAAAATCACGTGAAGCATAGATTGCACTATTTCAAAGACATTTAATCACCATGTGTGATATTTATTAGAAGAATTGGCTGTACATCACTCTTTGTTGATGAAATAGACGTACAAATAAAAATAAAAATGGTAGCAAATTTAGCCAGAGAGAATTTACTCCTAGAAAAGAGATGTATTCCGTTTTGAGGGGAATCGGATGGAGAATAGCATGGTAACCGCAATTTTATCCCGTTGTCCGTTCTTTAATTACTTATTATTTAAGGAATAACTGAAGATAAAATTGAATTATTATATTTTAATTAGTATACAATAATTCAATCTTATCTTCATTTCAGTGAAAACAACAGCCGACCTTGTGTCAACCAAACCAAATGTCTGAATGAATAAAATGGTATGGGCAATGGTTTTCTTTACTGTTTCGCATTCTTGTTCCATTTGCTCACAACAGCCCTTTGGATATAATTTTAAATTGTATTATAACAAATGTAAACGATTTGTTTTTGCCCTTAAACAAATTCTAACAAATAAGTCTTCATTATCTACAAAACCTTGCTCTCGAAAAGTGTGAAATGATAAACGAATGGCGCATGAACGACACCGGATGTCCCCGAAGGCAATTCCAGCGACCACGTCGTGTTGCCTGTGGCCTCTTCCGGCGCCTTATCATTCAGCGGAGGTTTCGACGAGCGGGAGCGGCCCGCGGCCAGAGCGCGCCAGTGGGCTTCGAGGGAAGCCCAAAGGGTAGCCCAAGCGGGCATTCAGGCAGTTATTTAGCCTGGAATATGTGGGTCAAAAGGCAATTATTTGGGCTATAAGGAGGAGTAAAAGGCATATAAAACCATAAAAAATTTAAAAGGTACTATTGTAAACAATTAATAATTACTAGGGGCAGATTTTGATGACCTACAACATCGCCAAAAATAAATAATAAAATGCTCTAAAATTTTAAAAAGGCCTAAGAACAAAGAAAAATGTCATTAAAAATTTGATCAAAACCACAACTAAAGCTGTTGGATCGAGGCTTCTGTGTTACTGTTGTAATCGAGGCTTCTTCCTTTTGTTCAAGTGTACTCAGCTTGCAAACATTTGCTTTAGACTGTTCTTTAAAAGAAAAATTTTTGCTTCATATATCTGAAATCGCCCGAACTGCCAAAGGAGCCGATAGGCGTCACAGGAACCTTAGAATACTAGTGAGTACTATATATTACTCATAATGGCTGACGTTACAATATTTGAGGGAAGAAACTGGCATAAACCACCCAGGATCTCTGTGGAGAATATTTGTCTGCCACCTCCTAAATATTCGCTTGAAGCAAGTACCCCTTTAAAATTGATATTAAAAACGATAAAATCAGCGAATTATGCATTTAAAAGTTTGGAAAAGGATAAACAATGTCTTATAGTTGAATTCGAACCAAATGAAAAAAAAAAAAAAAAAAGACGAAATATTGGATCCTTTCCTTTTGTTATATCATAAAATTAATTTCTTTCTAAACAGTATTTTTCCAAATTGAAAAAAATGACAGTTCATTAAAATCCGTCATTACCACGAATCACATTTTTATTAAACTCAAATTTACATTTGCACTTTACGTATAAAAAAACAATCTTTTCTTTGTAATATTGATTCCACATAACCACCTGGTATAACTACAAATTTGTTTTACCTGCGACGCTGACCCTTCAAAATGCTATTGTGGTGTCCCATTGAAATCTTTAAAATGCGTAAGTGGAAACTGAATTATATTTTTCATTCTTGGCACTTGTGCAGTACTACGACCGAAATATCAAATATAGAGCTCTGTTCCCAGAAGGGATGGGAGGCCACGCTCAAACATAGGATAGGATTCATCTTGAGCGAGCAAAGCCTGTCGGCTCATTGAAAAAAAAACCAACAACAAACTTGAATGGTACCATCGTTCTTTTTTCATACCCAACCCTCGGCCCTCAGCTTCTACAGAAAGATAAACACGACTGTACCTTTTTTCCAGGTATACGGGCACGTTCCAGTTCCATTAAGGTTGGTGCAGGAGGAAATAAAATGCAAAATAACGATGTAAAAGACAAAATGCCAAAAATTGGCATCAGAACCTAAAATTGGCAAAAAATTCAAATTGAAAAAACAACAACTAAACAACTTCAGAAAGTATAATCAAGTAATGCCTATTTTAAGTCAAAATTGTAACAATAATAATAATTTGCTGGCGTTTTGCCAAACTTTTGGGCTCTGAGTTGAAGGCCGACGCGGGCAAGTCCTTCGGGGAGAAGCACAAAGTCTGCACGAAGGAAACTCATCACAGGGGGTGGGGGCACATTTGGTAAGTTTCGGCAGCTAATCGGACTCGCGTAGCATCGGTGACGTCATGCGGTCAATGAGAGAACCTTCTAAGTCATTTTCGGCCAGTGGCCACCAAGCGCATATGCCAAATCAACCCCGTCTCCATGTACTTACACACTGAAGTGCAGGATGGCGTTGGTCCAATACGTGCACGTGCGTCGTTATTGGCGAAAAGATACTCCTTACTTTATTCCCTGCGTGATGTCGCCGAAGCTAAGCCGCTTACGCCCACTGGGGGAAAGCCCGGAACATGAATTTCTGTATACCCACTTGTCCCTGGTATATAACAAAATATGCAGTGGTGCTACTCCCCTTTTAGATGAACTCTAATTTCGAAAATTGAGAGAAGTATACAATCCAAAAGTACAATATTGAACAGAGAGATTTTAGATGAATTGAAATGTTCTAAAAAATCAGATCTTTAAAAACGTCATGTACAATTGTTTGAATAAGTAGTAGTTTTCTCGTAATTTCTCTGTGACATTAATGCAAATTATAATAAAAACAAAACATTCAGTGAAAGGTAGTAAAACAACAACCTCTTGAGAACAGAGCTTCGGTTCATCAGATAGGCCTACACCTACGATGCTACTGAACTTAGCGTGAGATGAGTCCAGTGAGATGTTGTTTCGAGTGCGGCGCGCGGGTGCGGCGCGGGAGCGAGGCGTCGGCAGTCTCTGCGCATGCGCGGCGCGTGCGGTCTCCCTCTCCGCGCACTGTGCACCCGAACCTTCGCACTCCCGGCCTCCGCAGCGCTGCCGACCAGGCAGTGCCGGAGCTAGGCGATTCAGAGACCTGGCCAATGCTGGAACCTAGCACCTCCCCCCGGAAAAATTAAAAAAAATATGTAAGTTGTTTCAAGAAACTATGGCGTGGTCGTGTTTTTCATGGAGGGGGCTTGCACCCGTAGTTTTATGTGGCACAATCAGGGCACAGGCATATGTTGATGTTTTAATCACCTTATTGATTCCCACTGTTGAAGAGCAATTCTGGGAAGGCGATTGCATATTTCAACATGATCGAGCACCTGTTCATACAGAACACAAAAATAACATCCCTGTAATGGACTAGCCTGCGCAGAGTCCTGACTCGAACCCTATCGAATACCTTTGGGATGCCGACTTCGTGCCAGGCCTCACCAACCTACATCGATACCTCTCCTCAGTGCAGCACTCCCTGAAGAAAGGGCAGCAATTCCCCAAGTCCGTGGTCCGTTTGTTAGGGAAGTGCTTCGGCATTCGCCTGGTGTTGATCGGAGAAACCACGGAAAACTACCGATCAGAGCAGCCGACCGCTAGAATTCTCCTCCAGGTAGCGGCTAAACTCGACCTAGCTGTGTCCAAAATCTTGTCACCGTCGGGACTCGAACCTCTGATCTCCCGGTCAGAGGAACAGCAGGGACATCAGTCGATGCCCTGAGCCGTCTCTCCCGGTCCCGGCTGCTATGGCTCAGCCCCAACGGTTGCTGCTGCAGAGTATCTGACTGGAGATCCTAGGGTTCCACTCACGACATCGGCGTATTTTCGACAGAAGCTTCATATGAAAGTCAGCCGGTGGATGGGGCAGGATTCTAATCGGCTATTTGATCTGCGGAAAAAGGCCGACGTAGCCCACTTTAGCAAACCGCCCAAGGACCGCATGCCATCTTCCTTTCTCCCTCATTCCATAACCCCTCGACTCCCTTTACACACGACGTGCCACTTACATGGACAACTACACATTTCGGGAGGATAATCGGGTACATGGGGCTCGTCCTCGCTGAGATGCTGGCCCATTGAACGACGTGCGAAATAGGATTTCTTCGACCAGAGAAGCCGATGTGTAACAAAAATGTTAGTCCCCAGAAGTTGTATGTGTATTTTGTCCCTCGTTCGGGCCAGTGTTCGTCCTGTCCGCCTCCAAGGTTGCGATGGCGCGATCGGCAAACAGCGAAAGCCTCCTCTCGCGCGCCCGCACGCCCACGCGCCGACGCCCGTCCGCCCGCCCGCGGGGGAATACCCGCGCCACTCCGGCCCCGGCCCCGGCCCCGCCCCCGCCGCACGCACCTGCGTACGCGCTATTGGCATTTCCTCCCACCTGCTTCCACCAGAATACATTGCTTGGTTAGTAGATAGTGATGCCGGGCGCATCGACTACCGAGCTCGGTTGTCCCGTAAGTGTAGTCCATGTTCTCAGGCGGTGACGGTTGTCTTCCCCCCCCCCTGTATGGCGAGATCCGGTGCCGACCTACCGTCGGCTCTCGTTTTTTCCGCAACCAGGAGTCTCCCACAAGCGGGGCACCGCCCTAGCTGGGATAAGCTCTTGGCTCCCGTATCTTCCAGCATGTGTAGAGCATTCTAGTGTGTGTGTGAGTGCGCGACTAGGAAGAGAAGTGGTACATGATTCTAATCCGTTTTGATCGGCAGTATAATGCCGGCGTAACCTAATTTAGCAAACCGCCAATGCGCCGCACGCTATCCTCTGTTCCTGGCCCGTTTGTTAGGGTACTGCTTCGTCTGGTATTGAACGGAGAAACCACGGCCGCTTGAATTCTCCTCCAGGCAGCGACTGAATTCGACAAGCTGACAAGTCAGTGTTGAAAATTCTATTCCGGTTGGGAGTCGAACTACGACCTCTCGGTCAGAGGTACTGTAGTGACATCAATTTATGCACCGAGCCTTCTCGCGTACCAGAATAGGGATGCAACATATACAGTAGAACGACGGTATTCAGAAGTAATTGGGAGTGTGGTGTGTTAGGATTCGTAAATTCGTATTATTCGAAAAAATATACCGTAATATACAAATAAGTCTATTGGATTACCAGACACTGCAACGTGGCGAAGCGATCGCATAATCAAATTCAGTTCCTTACGGCTAACGATTACCGATTTCGCAAGTTTCTCTAAGAGAAAATACTGCTACAATAAAAATGTGATGTACACCGTAGTTACCTGTTCAATAAACGTTTCAATTCGACAACTTATGTTTCAATAAGTAGTTGTTCAGTTCTAGAGTAATTTAAAATCGTTTGTTTGCAGTACAAATACGCAGTTTATTTATTTTGTTTATTTTTCGCCTAGCCCGAATTTTGTTCGGATTATCCCAAATTTCCGGTTTCCGGGGTTCTACTATATTTATTTACTTTACTCATTAAACGTCAAGAAACGTTTAAAAACTGCGTGATGTACAATGGGGAGAAGTGTATTCTGTGCAAGTTTAACTTCTATATCCTAAACCATAAACAATATGAATAATTATGACTACAGGCGGAAACGAGATTTTTTGGCAAAGATTGAAAAGAAATTATAAACACTACCCTATAATAAAAACATTTTGCAATGGAAAAGAAAGTACAGAATTGGGCTATTCCCTCTAGTGCCCTTAGTGCCGCGAGAACATGGAAACAGTTTAATTGAATACCTATATTTCTCCCTGAACTCTAGAAAACGAGGACAGAAACATCACATGCTAATCCATCACTTAGTCGTGCTATATGCAATTTGTTCCCAAGTGGAGTGGCAGAGTTTGCTACTAAGTCTTATACTCTCATGATGCAACATCACGTTGCTGGCATTAATTTGTAAATGTAAAAATGTGTAGATCAGTAGTTGATAGGTCGAACAATTGCGAATCAAGAGGACGAAGCATTATGGGAACAGAGCGTATACTCTGCCGCTACAGTTTGGAACAATTTCCATTTACAACAAAACAAGTGCGAAAACTCGTTTTACACTTCACAAACTCTCTGTCATGGTCCGAGGTTGTCTGAAAAGCGTGAAATGCTAAAACTCTCAGCGGTCCGCGTCCAACTCTCGACTTTTGTACTTCGGAAGACTCGTGATTGAGTCTTTATTATTTTTATTATTATATACCCAATCCTACTAACACGTTGTTGACTACCTCTTGAGAAACTCTGCAGGCATTTTTGGCGCTTTACAGCATTTGTGACTGTCGCCATTCATTTGTAACTCTGATCACTAGGAGTCGGATTTTGACGACTTAAAAACATCACCAAAAATGATCAATAAAATTATCTTAAAATGTTTTGAAAATGTCATAAAAGCAAAGGAAACTGACGTAAAAATGTGACAAAACCAAGTCCAATCTGCAAGCCTTTAGTGATGTAATGCAAGATGTTAGTGATGTAACCGAGGCTTCTTCCTTTAGTTTAAATGAACTCAGCTTGCAAAATTTTCGTTTGGGTTGGACTAGGAAATCCCTGTCTTTAGTTATCGTGAAATCCCGAACGGAGAATGGTGCTGATAGGCGACATGGAAACCTTAGATTACTACAACGGTTGACATTACAAGAGACTACTCAGGAATTCTGCGAATAATACACATTTTCAAATAATACATATACAGGTTTGTATTTGTTGAATTACATAAATATTATTTGAAACAAGTACCATTAAAAGGATATTAAAGACGATGATCCTCGAAAAAGGCTTTATTAATGACGGAAAAAAGTATCAAATGTAAAAGTAAGACTTATTTGTCGGAATCGAATAAATGCAGAAAAAAGACATATAAAAATGGATCACTTCCTTTTGGCGTATCATGAAACTAATGTGTATACTAAAAGGCATTGTTCTAAAGTGAAAAGACAAACGATGACTTTTCCATTAAAATCCCTACTGATCCCGATTAGCTCGTTGATTGGCATTTGGAAGGCGCACACTGATTTCAACCGAGCAAACACCTGGCCATACTTAGAAGCTATGTATTAAACCCTACGAGAATGTCTATATACTGATGTTGGTGTAACCGATTACGAATTCGACGTCAAAATTGAAAAATTCAAAATGGCGGATCCAATACTTAAAAATTAAGTGTATTTGCGTGGATATTGGAATTTGTGGATTTTCAGAGTTGATAATTAGAATTGTGATGTCAAAATTAAAAATCACAGATCCAGTACGGTGTATCGGATATCTGAAAATTAAAGAGTTTTGTCTGATAATATGTAGTAAGGTTTTAAGTGCACAAATATGATGCAAACATTGAGTTTAAATAGTAATGTTTATTTATTGATCATAATGATTATTAAAACATTCAGACAAAGAAAGGAGAAGGATCAAACTCTCAAGCGCAACCGTTTCCCGTTCACTGTTTCATTGTCTCTAAACCTTTTCACAGGATTTGAAGACACCAGAAGACTATAAAAGACAACTTGTTTAGTTTTCGTACGCAAATATTTCCAGGAAAATTTTTCACTATAACGTCTAATACCCTTATATCTGGCTACCTGTGCACCTTCCAACAATTTCCCAATTGGCAACGGAGAAGCTTTAATTATTGCGTACTCATGAATTAAATCACATGAATCGATGTCGTCGACACAATGCCACGCATACAGTTCTACGTATAGTTTTGCATCCTCCAAGCAGTACAATTTAAATTTCTGAATATCGACTTCCAGCCTACTTGACATAGCTTGCAACAGTAGTTCGCTCTTTGTAATTATTTTCATTCATTTTTAAAATTCTTTATGTATTCCTAAAATGTTATATATATATATATATATATATATATATATATATATATATATATATATATAACATTTTACGATTATATACGATGCACTAATTACATCAGTACACGATTTGACAGGTCTACCTTCTAAGCGCCAACTTCCACTCTTTTTTGAATTGTGGCCAGTTGGAACCAGTGCGCGGCGCCGTGTGTTGGAGGAGGGGGGGAGG